CCATACATATTTGACGGAATTTTAAATTGATTTACTGGCCCACAGCTGTGTGCATGTTACAGTGTAGAAAAGTGTTTGTAATATGTATGTTTATTGATAACTAAAATTAAGCTAAAACTGAAAATGAATAAAAGAAACATAAATGACAAAAACACATATTTACTGAAAATAAAAATAAAATGATAGTATAAATAATACTAAAAAATATAGGTACATTATGTTTGCATTGGGGTTGACATGCATGCTGTCTGGTAGATGATAATGGTATGACCTGTCCATAGGTATCGCTGTTTGAAATGCCTGAACGTACACCTGTGCCAAAGCTGCTTTCTGACTGAGAGACACAGCAGGAAACACAAGCCCTCTCATCCTGTACTGGAGTACTGTACTCAGGTGTGCAACCAAGCATATGATGTTTTACATATATTAACAAAGGTTTTCAGTTTAATTCCTCAATTTTGTGTGATTAATTAAAATAATAACTGATTTCATTTTTTTATATCATAGAATTTGAAATATTAGTGTAACAATAAACGAGACAACGGAGTTGGGATCTAAATGCAGCTTTAATAAAATGAGCGTAGTCAAAAACAGGCAGGGTCAAACGCCAGCAAAACACAATAGATGAGGTAAGGCAAGACTTAGCAATGAGCATGAGTGAAGGAGCTGCTTAAATAGTCTGGGTGATGGGAATCAGGTGTGAGGGTAATTAGTTCCTAGACAGAGGATTATGAGAAATGGAGTCGGGAGGAAAAGATGATGGAGCCCTCTGATGGTGAGAAAATTGCTCCTTCTCTTTTAATTTCTCTATACATATTTTGGTTACATATATTACGGTTTGTTCAGCCATCCTGGAAGGAGTCAATGGCGTCACTTGCCTCCAGCGCTCGACACGCTTTGGTACCTCTACACACTCGGAGAGAAGCAGAGAGGAAGAGAGCCCTGAGAGCAGGCTCCATTGCAGAGCTGCAATACAGGTACAGATTTTGTGTGTACAGTATGTGTTTTTCTGTGTTGGAAATGGGCAGTGGCAAGTGAGCAAGCATATTGTACATATTTAACAGCATGCAGATGATTTCATGTGTCTGTGTGTGTCTGCAGTGCCCCTTCTCCAGTGCTGCAGTGCTCCAGTGTAGCAGATCCAGACACGCATAATGCTCCTGAAACAGGTCTGACTGCCACCCCTCCTGTGGTTACTGTAGAGTCGAAATGCCTGCAGACAGAAGAGACCGAGATTCCTCAAGTAACTTACCTGCAACGTTTCACAAAGTACAACATGGGGTTCCTAGTAAAAT